AAAGTGGCACTTCTCAACTGTCCATTCCCCAATCTTCGAATCAAATTTTGTGCACAATGGATGGTAACTTAATTGTTCAAAAAGAAGCTACAGTGCTAACTACCAGGTACATTTCTAATATTTTATTCATTAACTTTGTGCCATTATTTTAATAAATGAGAATTCATTTTAGATCGTATGCTGATACAATGGCATTCTTAAAAAATAAAAGAATACCTAGGTTACAAAAATCCTCCGATAACCAGGAGGATAAACCGGTTGCCAAAAAACATAAGGGAGAATCCTTTGATTCCTGTAAATAAGTGTTATCTCTTCTTTTTTTTTTTTTTTTTTTTTTTTTTTTCTTTTTTTTTTCCTTTTTTTTATATATATAATGATGAATGCTAATTAAAATTAGTCGCTATTCGTAAATGAATTCTTTACGTATACAGTACACTATGTAGTTCTTATATTGTAAGATTAATAAAATAGGATGAATGATGTCTAAAATGTACTAATTTGACTCATTTTGATAAAAAAAAAAATATATATATATATTCGAAAGATACACATATATATGAATATGTATGTATCTACAATAAATAAAATTAAACGTGAGTATTGAAAACGTAATTTAAATTTCTACGAGATGATAAATTTCATGATAAATAATATATATATAAGTTTTTAAACTTACATTTAACTTTGTGTTTATTGGTTATATACTTTTACATTTTCGTTATATCATTTGATTATTACAGTAATTTAATACTAATATAAAACTTTATATAAAAGAGGGAAAAGAAAATACAAATATGTATAAAAAGTTCTTTTAACGGCATTAATTATTTCATTAATTTATATTTCACTTCATTTTTTTGTATGTACAAACATAACTTGGAACAAAATTTTTCCATAATATCAATCATTATCACTAGGATGATAAATTCATGTACAAATGCAGAGAAACGATTTCAATTAGAATCATTTTTAAATTTTAAAACTTTATTAACTTGCATTATAACTGCCTTTAAGAAATTTAAATTTTCCTACTAAAGAATTTCTTTCTACTTGCAAATTTATAGATATTACATATTCTTCTATACACTTAAAATATTGCACATTTAATGGAAAGATTAAAAGTGTATTTAATATAATTCTTATAACTCATTATTACATTTATTACCTGTTACCATTATTTGATATATTTATACTATAGAGAATGCACTAACATAAAATATTTTGGCCCCTGTTTTTTATATTATGCATTTGAATATTTTCGAATAAAAAAAGATCTACAGCGTAAGAGTGTTAAAGCAAGTTTCTTACAATTTTTTTTTTTTTTTTATTATCAAGTTAAAAATGTTAAATGACTTGAGAAATCCAGCTACAAGCCATATTAATTCTTAATTGATAGTGGGCGGTGGCATTGGTGGCTCACCATCAGAATCCTGGAAACAATCATATTTCACGTACATATAATAAAAGATTAAATGAATTTGATTAATCATACATACTGGATCACTGTCTCTAGCTTTTGTGCTGTCTAACTGTCGAAGTGAATTGGGTCTAAGAGCATATAACAACATACCAAATATAGCAAATAAACACACCATCATGAAACGACTATCGTTTGAAATATTTGCTGGGTCTGGTACTATTGAAATGAAAAATATATTAAAAAATTGCAATTCAAACGACTGCATAATGATGCGGTGGATCTGATTAAATTTACATACATCGTGACATAGTAAGGCACTCATTATCTGTGCAATATGCTTGTGATTGTCGTAACTAAAATGAAAAAATATATCAAAGCAGTTAGGAAATAAAACGATTTTTAAAATATCATTAATTATAATAGAATTATGGATTCGTGTGAATTTACGGATAATACTACTTATATAGTATAAGAAAATATGAAAAGATAAGCATTTAATATCTTGTAAGTATATATTACAATTGAAGGTAATAACATTTTTCTTCTTTTAAATTACATTCAAGTTATGTTTATACAATTGTAAAGATAGACGAGGATAACTTGCAAAGACTTAAAATCAATTTATTCATATTGATTTTAATTGAATTTGTTTAAAGTTTTTCCTCTTTTTTTCATTTTTACTTTTTCTTGCTTTTCAATTAAATGTTACTTTAAATGCATAATTCTTAACTCACAATAGACAAAAGTCTCTGCATTGCTAGATCATGATTCCACATGCAAGCACACAAATCAAAACCTTCATCCTCGTCACTCATGATTCTTCTTTATATTTATTTACTTATTTACCATAAAACTGAAAGATCAAAAGAATTACTTATTTATTTGCAAAAAAAAAGGTGGCATTAAATATTATGGGAGATAATTATTTTTACAATTGAGAGTGCATAAATAAACATCTATCTGGAACAATATAATAGATACATTAAAAATTGTAGTTATTCCGTGCCTACAGGTTAAACATAAATGTTAAATTTTATCTATACTAATATATATATATATATATATATATATATATATATACATATACATATATTGATAAGACGTCTTTATAACAGAATAATAAAATTGATAACAACACAAAAAATGATTTATAATAATAAATAGTATTATAAAATTATTACTTCATTAATGCTTGATTAACACGATTAACATATTAACAATGAATTAATACACTGATTTTTCTTCTTAAATTACACAATTCGATTTAACATTTAAGTATTAAATATATAATGGATTAAAAATTTGCAGTCAAATCGTTGAAATAGAGAGTACATATTAAAAAAAAGAGAGAGAGAAAAAAAGCCCAGTTAAAACGTCATTTTGTCTTCGAAATATTTATTATGTTTTTTAAACATTTAAAAAAAATAAATTAAAATTGTTTCAAACATCAATTATATGCATATATGCATTTGGTTTGGATGGGAGTCATCGTCTTCGCTTCGTCTTCGTCTTCGTCTGTGACTGTGGCTGTGGCTGTGGCTGTGGCTGTGGCTGTGGTTGTGCGTGTGCGTGTGCGTGTATTTACGTACGCATGCATTTGTGCGTGCGCGGATGAATATTAGAATGTGTGTGGGCGTGAGTCATTTAAATATAAATAAAAAATATTAATCGTTATTAATTAATGTTCGATGTAGCTGATAAAACGGCAAAAATGCTAACAGATGGAATTTTTGTCCCGATATGGTAATTAACCGATGTCACATTAATAGTTAAAACAATCGCTTAATGAGATTAAAAACTCTGCAAAAAACACCGCATAAACGACATCCTATCACAAATTCACAAATATTGCATAAATGTTTCATTGCCATAAAAAGTTCAAGCTAATGCACTTCTCTCTCCTCAAGAGCTCTTAAAAAAAATCTGTTTTTTCATCCGTTGCCAAATGAACGATACGACGTTACATTACATTTGAAAAAAAGAAGAGAAAAAAAAAAAGAAAAAAAAGAAAAGAAAACAAGAACAGCCTGAAAACATTATACGCATATCATGGAAAGAATCTTTTGACAGTTCCCAAACATTAAGTGCACTGTACAGTAGTTCGCGAAACGAAAGAATAACAGACGACGGAAAATAGGTCGACCATTTTACAAACAGATAATTCGCTGGCAATGGTAAAGCTATAAACGTGGAAAGCTGTTAGAATTCGGTTGAAAACAACGAAAAGAAGAAACTGTTGTCGTGTCATATGAAGCTGCAGGTGTGTTAAACAATGGTACTTACGAACAGCACGAATGTCGACTGGTTACGTGGTTTAATTTCAGTCGACTTAAATCTACTCATGATCCGCATACGTCAAGCGACAACATTCTCACACACTAGCGCCACGCAGCTGTGTGTAAGTGCGCGCGCATGCACATGACGAATACCAACACAACGTTGTAAGTATACGTTACATGGGCGTATGTTTATGATGCCTGCATGCCGAGCCAAGCGCAGCAACATCCATGAATAACATAGAAACGAGAGAACGAGAGAACGAGAGAGAGAGAAGGAGCGAGAGCTGACGAAGGAAGGACAGTCAGTCGAATGATAGATTGACAGAGATAAACAGAGATACTGGCACGTACGCACGCGTGTGCGCGAGGGTGTGTATCTACACATATATAAATATATATGCATATGCGCACGCGTATGTATGGAGAGAGAGCGAGTGTGTGCACATGCGAGAATGTTACATAGCGGGGCGGGGGGAGAGAAAGAGAAGGAGAAGGAGAGCAAGCTTAGTAACTAAGAGAGCAAAGAGGGAGAAAGGGAAAGATAACAACGGATGTTTTATTGGACATAAGATTGTAGGTATGCGACTGGCTATACGGTATATGCTATCGGCTTCACCTCGGGCACTTGGACTCGGTGGTTACTCGGGCTTCCTCGTCGATCTTCGCCGGCTCTTTCTCATTACAATAAAGATACAAAATTCATTTGTGAAAATATATTTATCCAAATTTTTGAAAAATGATATTTTTGATTTAAGAATAGCGATAAAGATGAAACGTACGGCACTTTGAGAAATAGCATGCTAATAATGTTACTCTTATAGCTATAAAATGTTTGTTTTAACTTTTTCTCTTAATTCGTCTGTCGTATATGTTTACGGTCTAGTTAAAAATCTCATTTTCCGATCATTTTTGTACTCTTGAAACAATATTGTAATTTATAATATAATTTACAATTAATTTTGACGGACATATTAATATATAATATACATTGCACAAACAATACTAATAATTTAATAAATCGTTCATAAACTTGAATTTAGCTTTTCACTTTTGTAATTTTTAGCATATGAAAGATAAATTGGGGACAAAAAAAAAAAAAAAAAAAAAAAAAAAAAAAAAAAAGAAGGAATGAAAAATCGATGGCTTTGAGAATTTTAGGAAATTACGCGGGATTTTTTCAACGCAGATATTCTCTGTTGTATTTGGCAGGCGGGAGATATAACAAAAACTTCATTACTCACTTTAAAAAACTGGAAATCGCATCCTCCACAATGAACAGACGTAAATTTACATCATCGGGAAACAACAGTAAAAAAATAAAGCTATCGTAAGGAGAATATTTATTTATCGTATTAATATAACGTTTATTATCGAGATGCATGAAATTTAAAAAAAAAACTTGTTATAACCTTTAAGCCACTAAGTATTTTATGTTAATCTTGTAATTTATTTGTCATAAGTGTTGAAATTGCTCCCTATAAAATTAAAGCAAAAATCGATTTATACGTTTTAAATTATATTTTAGGCACGATGAGGAAGAATCTGTATTCGAATCTGAACTTGCAGCGATGGACGAGTTTGAGGATGACACGAATATCGAAGGAACACAAGTTATTGGAGATGTAGGTTATTGAAAACAAAAAAACTGACTTGCTGATATATCCATCTGTATATGGATATTTATTCAAATTACATAATAACAAAAAATAAAAAAAAATAAAAAAAATTTTTTAGGGACCGGAGCAAGAAAATATACCTTCTAAATGGAGTAGACCCGAACCTCCGCCGATTGATCCATCAAAGGATAATCTATATTTTCAACAAATTGACGTCGATCATTATATAGGTTGGTAATGATCATTAATTTTAAATACCAAAATTGCTTATGCTTAAATAAATATCTGGTATATTTAATATTATGGTGAAAAAAATTATGCATATTATTGTCAAATATTTTGGATTAATACAATTGAAATTGTTCAACATCGTCGTTTACTTCAGATAAGCCATTACCCAACATGCCCGGAAGTAAAGTAGGTCCTGTTCCAATAATGAGAATGTATGGAGTAACGGAGCAAGGAAATTCAATTTGCTGTCACGTACATGGCTTTAGCCCATATTTTTTTGTATCTGCTCATTCATCGTTTAATAATTCACATTGCAAATCATTCAAGGTTTGATTAAATATCTTTCAAATGTTCATAATAGTTTGCAATAACATCAAAGTATTAAATATTAAATATATTGTATTATTAATGAATTACAGGAAGCTTTAAACATTGCAGTTAGAAAAGATATAAAGAATAACAGCGATAATATTCAAGATTTCATTTTGGCAGTCGATATAGTTGAACGTCAGACAGTCTATGGATATACGGGAAATAAAAAATCGCTCTTTTTAAAAATAACAGTTGCTTTACCAAAATTAATTGCTCCATGCAAAAGATTGTTGGAATCTCAAATTGTGTATCCAGTATTGGATCATAAATACGTAGCTTATGAAAGTAATATTGACTTTGACATAAGGTTCATACAAGATATTTTGAGTAAACGAAAGATTTTTTATACATAGACCGCCCTACTAAGCTTTATCCTTTTTTTTTCTTATCCGTACGTATAGATTTATGGCTGATACGCATATGGTTGGTTGTTCATGGATAGAATTAAAAAAAGGGACTTGGAAATTAAGAGGGAAATATAATCATTACTTGAATCCAATTACTAGATGCCAAATAGAAGTCGATGTGGCTTGGGATTTGTTTATTGCTCATGCACCCGAGGGAGAATGGTCTAAGGTCGCACCCTTTAGAATTCTCAGTTTTGATATTGAATGCGCTGGACGTAAAGGTATGTGATACTTTGAAAAAATTAAAAATACCAACAGTCAATTTATTAATTTTAACATTATTTGCAAATGCAGGCATATTCCCGGAGCCTAATCACGATCCTGTTATTCAAATTGCTAATATGGTAATACTACAGGGTGAAAGCGAGCCATTTTTAAGAAATATTTTCACATTAAATACCTGTGCGCCTATTGTAGGATCTCAAGTGTTAAGCTTTGAAAAAGAAAGTAAAATGTTAGAAGTACGTTTGCATTTGCGTAAATAAAAATTTTACTTTATTATTATTATTATTATTATTATTATTATTATTATTATTATTATTATCATATTCGTCGTATTAATAAATTTTATTTATTTTTGTCTAGAAATGGGCTGATTTTATTCGCCAATTAGATCCTGATATATTTACCGGATATAATATTAATAATTTCGACTTTCCATATTTAATTAATCGGGCACAGCACTTAAATGTTAAAAATTTTAGCTATTTAGGTAGAATAAAAAATATAAAATCCGTAATTAAAAATCAAGTATTACAGAGTAAGCAGATGGGTCGAAGAGAAAATAAATACGTTAATTTTGAAGGACGTGTACCATTTGATTTATTATTGGTAAATTTTATTACGTAAAAATTTTAATAATCGCGTTCATTTAACGTTGTACGATATATTTGATTTTTTAATCGAAGGTACTTGTCAGAGATTACAAATTGCGATCTTACACCTTGAACGCCGTAAGTTATCATTTTTTACAAGAACAAAAAGAAGACGTTCATCATAGTATAATAACTGATTTACAAAATGGAAATGCGCAAACAAGAAGGCGTTTGGCTGTTTATTGTTTAAAGGATGCATATTTGCCTCTTAGATTATTAGATAAGCTCATGTGTATTATTATATACATGGAAATGGCAAGGGTAACAGGCGTATCTCTTTCCAGTTTATTAACCAGAGGTCAGCAAATTAAAGTCGTATCACAGCTGTTACGAAAGGTAATGCGATTTTTGAAATTGAAACAACAAATTAATAAACATTTTATGTGATAAATGCAAATAAATTTTTACGCTTTTTTTTTTTGTACTCTTACATAGACGATCGAAAGAGGATATCTAATACCTGTTCATCATGGTCAAGGTTCGGATGAACAATATGAAGGTGCTACAGTAATCGAACCTATTCGTGGGTATTACAACGATCCAATTGCAACATTAGATTTTAGCTCTCTGTATCCCAGTATAATTATGGCGCACAATATTTGCTATACAACACTTGTACATACTTCGACTCAAAATCAATATAATATTGCCAACGACGATATTACCAAAACGCCGGCAAACTCGAGTTTTGTTAAAAGTAACGTTAGAAAGGGAATATTACCTGAGATTTTAGAACATCTATTGTCAGCGAGAAAAATTGCTAAAGCAGAATTAAAGAAAGAAACGGATCCTTTGAAACAAAAAGTGCTCGATGGCCGACAATATGCTTTAAAAGTATCGGCTAATTCTGTTTATGGCTTCACCGGAGCACAACAAGGCAAATTACCTTGTTTAGAAATATCTGGCGTAAGTATTATAATTAAACAAACACTATATTTATAAAAATATTCATAATGAAAAATAAAAGTGCATCCCACAATATATATATATATATGATAAGCACGAACTAGCTTTACAAATATTATCGATGTTTTTTGTTTTTGTTTTTGTTTTTTTTTTTTAGAGTGTCACTGCTTATGGGCGTACGATGATAGAAAAAACTAAACAAGAAGTGGAATCCCATTATCGAAAAGAAAATGGCTATGATAACGATGCTATTGTAATATACGGCGACACTGATTCTGTAATGGTTAAATTTGGTGTTAAAAGCATCGAAGATGCTATGAAACTTGGAAAGGAAGCTGCCGAATACGTGACTTCAAAATTCATTCAGCCTATTAAATTGGAATTTGAAAAGGTTTACTTCCCATATCTTTTGATTAATAAGAAACGTTACGCCGGTCTATATTTTACCAAACCCGATAAATATGATAAAATGGATTGCAAAGGCTTAGAAACTGTAAGAAGAGATAATTGCCCATTGGTTGCTAATATGATGAATACGTGTCTTCAGAAATTACTTATTGACAGGTTCGATATTCGATGTATGATATTTGAATTCGTCGCAATTCATCGCGTAAATCTCAATGTTTCACCCCTACATGACGCTTATATTAATACTTACAGGAATCCCGAGGACGCACTGGATTACGCCAAACAGGTAATTAGCGATCTCTTATGCAATCGCATAGACATATCACAATTGGTCGTCACCAAAGAATTAACAAAAACTGAATACACGGCAAAGCAAGCGCACGTGGAATTGGCGGCTAAAATGAAGAAACGCGATGCTGGCACAGCGCCCAAATTAGGCGATCGCATCCCGTACGTCTTTATCAGTGGACCGAAAGGGGTACCAGCCTACCAAAAGGCCGAAGATCCGATTTACGTATTAGAAAATAGCATACCCATCGACACGAATTATTATCTAGAAAATCAATTGTCAAAACCTCTCGTACGTATTTTCGAACCGATACTTGGCGATAAAGCGGAGTCGTTGCTGTTAAAAGGAGAGCACACGAGAACAAAATCAGTGGCAACGTCCAAAGTCGGAGCTCTGGTGGCTTTCACGCGTAAGAAGGAAACGTGTTTAGGATGTAAGGCTGTGTTGACGGCTGAACGGGAGAAAAATGCTCTCTGTCAATATTGCGAGCAAAATGAATCGCAAATTATTCAGAATGAAATTTACAATGGCAGAAAATTAGAAGAGAAGTTTTGCAGATTATGGACCGAGTGTCAGAGATGCCAAGGAAGTCTTCATCAGGAAGTTATTTGCACAAGGTAATTCATAAACTTTCATTAAACAAGGCCTAATATATGTGTTTCTTCATTTATTTCATTCCATCGTTCATTATGCTGTAAGAGCTTTTATGTGATATTTTTTTTTGATTTTACAGCCGAGATTGTCCAATTTTTTACATGAGAAAAAAAGTTCAAATAGATTTGGACACGCAATCGAAGCGAATTGAAAAGTTTGGGATTCCAGAGTGGTAGAACCACCTTCTCATTCAACAATATATTTGAAATATCATAATTTATGGAAAAAGACAATATTTTAACGTTGTTGTTTTTGACTATGTTTACGTTAACATTTTGAAAATGACTTACGAGTCTCTTTTTGATAACACAATACAATGTAAAAAAAAAAAAATTGTTGATAATCAAGAAATTATTACAAATTTTCACTTATTCATGTATATAAATCATTGTTACTATTACTATTACTATTATTATTATTATTATTATTATTATTATTATTATTATTATTATTACTATTACTATTACCATTACTATTACCATTACTATTACCATTACTATTACTATTATTATTATTATTGTATGGAATAACATTAATAACCATCTTTTTCACGATCAACGCTTGTGTTTTTGAATTATCATTTGAAATTAGGGATTTTTTTGCCTTATCACTAGATGCTTTGAAAATTCTAATTTACTTCTTATTAAACGTATAAGCGTTTTTATAATCACAAAAGAGTCACTAAGGACGATGGAGTTTCTCAATCTTGTGAAATATATTTTATTTGCATGCGATGAAACAAAAAGTAATTGCTCCCGTCAGAATTCCGTCAAATCAATAAATATTATGTTTTTTATTATTGTGCAGGCTGCGCAATAACGAAAACTCACTAGTCTCGGCTCCATGAAATTTCCATTAAAAAACTATAGATCTGCCGTAACGTTGTAGTATTGTCCATATTGAACGTATTCGCAACCGGCTTGTAACGTAGTGAAGGTGAGTTGAATTTCGCGTACTTATTACCTTATATTTTATTATAATAATAGAGGGAAAAGCTAATTAATGCCTTTAACATTTAATTTATATCGACAATTATGTCATTGAAGGGATTAAAGCCAACATCTTAATAATACTTGTTGTATAGTAATTTTTTACGGACACGTGCTTCGCCGACATAATAAAGGATATTGTAATCCATTTAGTTTTATGACAAAGTTGCGAACTATATTTTTTAATTTTTCCACATTTTGTAGTCCATTTAATCGGCACTTCCATTCAATCACCAAACACGATCGATAAATAGTTTACTATTTTCTATTTTATTTATGTTCATCCGATGACCTTCATAAGGTCATTGCTATCAACGCGAAAGTAAGTGCAAGGCTAATTATTCTAATTAATCTAGTGCGTCGAAACTACCTAACATCAATTACTCATAATTGCCATATTAATTTCAAGATTAATTTGTAGCCTTAAAACGCAATCTAAATTATCGAAGATTTATTTAGTTATATAAGAATACTTAAGGATGAGAGAAAATTTTCTTATCGAATGGCAATCAAATTTGTCAATTTCGTACTATTATCGTAGTATCGTCAGTAGCCTAAATACGAATAACTTTTGTTTTAGATATTTGGTAGCGGCTTTTAAGCAAAGTATAAACAAAATGCCGGTTCAAAGCATCAAGGCTCGTCAAATTTATGACTCGCGTGGAAATCCAACTGTCGAGGTAATTATTCTTTATTTTCTCGAATATGTTGTATTTATGTATTTTATTAATTTATATACCTTTTCTAAGATTTTAATTTAATATAAATTTTTTGTTTTTGTTTTGTTTTGTTTCTTCACAAATTTTGTTACGAAATTTCTTCTCAACTCTTCTCACATTATGCATTTATCAATTAAATATGACAAACGACAGGTAGATCTTGTCACTGAAAATGGACTATTTCGTGCTGCCGTGCCTTCGGGTGCCTCGACTGGAGTTCACGAAGCTTTGGAATTGAGAGATAACGACAAGTCTCAATATCATGGCAAGTCAGTTTTTAAAGCTGTTGATAATATTAATAAAATCATTGCACCAGAATTATTGAAGGTAAATTACAAAAGGATTAATTGTATATGTATTGTATTATTATTATGACGATAATGCGTATATGTGTTTACATAATTAGGCCGGCTTGGAAGTAACTCAGCAAACGGATATTGACAACTTAATGTTGAAGCTCGATGGTACAGCTAATAAATCGAAACTTGGAGCTAATGCAATTTTAGGTGTTTCTCTGGCTGTTTGTAAAGCTGGAGCTGCTAAGAAAGCGGTGCCGCTTTATAAGTAAGTTTTTGTTTATTAGTCGTCTCGATTAATTATTGGGTATATTAAGCGAAGGCTAGAAAAGTCGAAATAATTATGGACTAAAGAATTTTATAAAATTGATAATTGTAAGGTGATATATTAGTGTTATTGAAATTGTAGTATTATAATGAAAAGGTTTTTAGTTTGATTTTCATTAAACTTTTGTTCATTTATTCCGTAATTTTCATGCTCGTTATTGATTAAATTTAATGCAAATATACGGAAACTTAAATATATAATCAAGATTGTTATAAATTCTAGAAACTTCATACCTTAAATTATTATCATTAATATATTATATTCTCATATTAGATATATCGCTGAATTGGCTGGAAATACAAACATTATCTTACCAACACCGGCTTTCAATGTCATTAACGGCGGTTCCCACGCAGGTAATAAACTGGCTATGCAAGAATTCATGATTCTTCCAACGGGAGCTAAAAATTTTACCGAAGCCATGAAAATGGGAAGTGAAGTATACCATCACTTGAAGGCTGGAATTAAGAAGAGATTTGGACTGGATGCGACTGCCGTTGGCGACGAAGGTGGTTTTGCTCCAAATATCTTGGAGAACAAAGATGCTCTAGATCTTATTGTAGATGCCATCAAAGTATATACAATATAACATTTAGTTGTAACGATCTGCATAAAATATATCTACCACTTATAATATATTAAATTTTCCAAGGTTGCTGGTTATGAAGGGAAGATCAAAATTGGCATGGATGTTGCTGCTTCTGAATTCTATAAAGATGGCAAATATGATTTAAACTTCAAAAGTGAGAAGTCTGATTCACCAGCGACTTATCATACACCTCAAGCATTACAAAGTTTGTATTTGGATTGGGTCAAACAGTTCCCTATCGTGTCCATCGAAGATCCCTTCGATCAAGATGATTGGGAGTCTTGGACTTCTATCACAGCCGATAGTTTAATTCAAATTGTTGGCGATGATCTTACGGTCACCAATCCGGATAGGTAATGATAATTAAAAATATCAAATATCAAATGGCAAATATCGCGTTAAAGACATTGCTTTTTGTAACTTAATCTCAAATTGGCGATCATTCATTACGTCAGACATTAAGTTCTTACGTTTTTTTGCCTCACTGCAATACCGAGGGCCTGCACTTACTCGTTATCAATATTATCTCCATTTAATTTTCTTCTACAATACGTTTAACGGTAATAATTTTTATCTTGTATATCGATTGTACATTTAAACTCATTACGTATTAATAATACTCTAATTGATATAAGATCTCATGTTTACGTGGAGATTCTTCTAGTATTACAATATAACGAATAGCAAGCTTGTGCTTCGGGTATAATAAGAAAATTTGAAAATTTGAAAATTTGAAAATTCTCTTTCAGAATAAAGACGGCTATTGAGAAGAAGTCGTGCAATTGTTTGCTCCTGAAGGTGAACCAGATCGGTAGCGTTACCGAGTCAATAAAAGCACACGTGTTGGCAAAGAGCGCCGGATGGGGTACGATGGTGTCTCATCGTTCCGGTGAAACCGAGGATACGTTCATCGCCGACCTGGTTGTTGGACTATCTACAGGCCAAATTAAAACTGGTGCCCCGTGCCGCTCCGAGCGTTTGGCCAAGTACAATCAAATCCTTCGTATCGAGGAGGAGCTGGGAAATGCTGCTAAATACGCCGGCGAAAACTTCCGTAATCCTCACGCCTAATGGATCTGACAATTTAAGGAAAACAATGACGTTATTCATCAACATTTATGATCAAAATTATTTATCCAATTTAGTATTGTCTAATATATAATATTTTATGCGTACTTGTCGAAAATATTTATAATTTAATTCAACTTTATTAAGTCAATATGCAGACCTATGGAAATAAATAGGCTGCATTTAAAAACTTCAAAGTCAAATTTGTCTTTTTAATCCAAACGACGTTATTATTATTATTATTATTATTATTATTATTATTATTATATTATTTTATTTAAAAATTTTTTTTTTTACTCTATTGAATTTTAAGTGTAACCAGTTAAAGGCGGATTGCATCCTATTTTATGTAATATAACAAATTAGGTTTCTTTATTCAATGTCATCGATGAAATCTGTAAATAAATTAATAAAGAAAATAAAAATGGTGTCGGCGTAATTATTATCTATCACGAAACTTATTATCTACCAATCATTGTGCGCAATTATGTAGACGAAACGAAATATTTTAATGTATAGTTGAGTTATTTCCGCCGTCGAATGTTTAACACATAATAATTTGCATAAATCGACGATGAAATACCAAATTCAACACCCGCGTCCTCCTCTCCCTTCAATGAAAGATAAAAAAAAAAAAAAAAAAAAAAAAAAAAAAAAAAAAAAGGAAGAGAGAAAGTCAGATATAATAAATGATCGGTAGGCAAATTGGAATTTTTATCCCTTCGTTTGATAGAGACTGACCCACATAATGTTTCCCTCTTTCTTACTACTACAGATTACACGTTAAACCTACTCTGCATGCATGTTTTCTTCTTCGTAGAAGAATGGCCGGCAATAGCCCGGTATCACGCGAGCTTAAGCGCACACGCGAATATCGACTTAAAGAGAAACCTAAGGTCAGTATACTCTGCTTATATAGCCTTCGAAGTAGTTGGTACGAGGTCCTTGACGTTGTCGATCAGTCGGACAATATTCATGAGGCAAGCGGCGTTAGTTCTTTTAAAGAATTTGCGCCTTTTCGTTAGGACTTCGTCGTATCCTTGTTGAATTACGAGTGAACGCTTTATCCACCTCCTCGGCACTACAATTTTTATAAGGAAAATTTATGCATTGGACTTTCAAATGCCGATTATTCTATTTACTGGTGACGGGAGGCAAATGGAATTCCAGAAGAAGCGAGAAAGATACGGAGATTACGAAATTACTTGTCGCCGTGAAGATAATGGCTCGTTGGCCGCGATTATAGAAAATAAGTCATTCCGTAATCATTTTAAGAATTTTTATTTTGTCATATAAGGTTTTACAATACTCGCACGTAATAGCCGTAAAACATTTTTTTTTTTTTTTTTTTTTTTTTTTTTGCTAATGTACCTCTTGTCAAATGTCATTCTAACAATTATATTTTATGCAGATTATTTTTCAAGTTTATTCAATTACTCAAAATTTACTTGCAATGTACGACAGAAATATATAAATATTGAAATTATTATTATACCGTATGGTTTATCCTTCCAAATTCTATTATTTTTCTTTTTTTTTATTATTATTATATATATATGAGTATGCACGAGTATGTTATATAATAATTGCTAAATTAATGAAATATGTGGGGAAAAAAATGTTTCATTTAATACTCTTAAATTGTATTATCTTATTCAAATGACAATGAGAATATCTTTTTATTTGAATAAAAATAAATTAATGATAAACATGTAAATAAAAATGAATACTAATTGCTAATATCCGACTCTTTAAATGATATTGGCAATGATTTATTGTAAAAAAAAAATATATGTATAGTTGAATCGTTGTTAAATGTATTTAGATAATCTTTAAACTTATAGACAATGCTATAACAGCCTAGTATAAAGTTAAAATAAAATTTCTACAAATAGTTTTTTCATAATTGAGGATTAATTCATTTTAGAATAAAGAATTTTAAATTTATAAAACGGAGAAAAGTCTTTATTTGTTTAAGAGCGATCAAATTCGTCTTAAACTAGTTAAACGCTGTCCTTAACGCTATCATATAATCTACATAGGGTAATTAAAAAAAAAAAAAATACAAAATCACGAGAGAATTGTAGAATTGAGAAGCGTAGAAGTCCCTATTAGTTTAATAAAGTTTTTGAAAACATTTGTCCTCGTGTAGTCAGAGTATTGCCGGCGGTACGTATAATAATGGTAATTTTGACCTCTTTGAATTAATATGCTCAAATAATAAAATAGCAAAGAGCTTTCAAGAGTGTTAAATAAGTGAAATTTGAGGTAAATAATCGAAAGAAAATTAGGAAATGCAATACCTTTCGATCTGTCATTAATAATTTGTCGAAATTAATGGCCGACATTAAACGTACGATGCCATGAGAATTTACGTGGTTCCCACTCGGGAACGGAGAAGTACGTAGTCTTGGAGCAAGTGTACCGATGAAAAAGAAATTGCTTGAAAGGATCGTTTAAACAAAACGAACGATCGAAGCCCATTAGCTCTGAAATGTCTTTCTCATTGGCCATTTGAGAAAGGATCGAGCACATTGTCCGAGCCAAGTCATCCTCCCGCCGAAAGCGATGAGCTAATTGCCGTAAGGAGCAGAGGATAGGGTGGGTAGGGCATGAAATCGTTGTGACTCGTCCGCTTGGGAGTTCGAGTGAAAAGTCGGTCGGGCAATGGGAACACCATCGGTAGCTAAACCCCATTGGGTAAAGCGCGGAGGGAGGCCCTGGATCGATTGACGCCGCCTTCGCGAAAAGGCTACGATCGAGCTGCTGGATAAAGGGAAAGCGGGTGGTCGGGGCGTCGGTGTGTAAGTACGCGGCGCGGGAGGGGAAGGTTGAGGCACGTCCAGGTGTCCAGCTGGTCAACGGTGCGCTTGGCCGCCGCCGACGCCGCCGCCGCCTCCACCACTACCGTAGCCGTCACCACGGCTGTTGTCGAGGCCGCCGGGGTTCGAAGAACGGCCGGGGGGAGTTACGAAGCGTGGCTCCGCAGTCGGTTGAGCGATACAGACGAAGTCGCGTGACCGCGACTCTCGCCTACCACCATGGGGAGCTTCTACGGGTGCGCGTATCGCTGCTGAATTCCCGCGCTGAGTCACCGCCCGGGGATGAGAGTGGACCTGTACACGAGGCATCTACGTGCGATACACACGTACGTCCGTCGGAGTGGCTCCGCACCCCAGCCGGGTAGATAAAATCGAGATACTCGATCTCAATCGTCGAACGGACCTCGCCGATACCCTATAACCGATGAATTATTCGTAAAGAGAACGGGTTCGGGGTCAATGTCTCGTGAAATTTTATGCCGTCCTTTCGCACTTTCCACGGCCTACCCTCGAAAATCACACAGTCAGTGGGAATATTTTACATTGTTTAAGCGGTGCTCGAAATATGCGCGATTCACTGTAAAAAGTACTTTTGCTAAGCACGCAACATTACCTCGCATGTGCATTAGTCGGTGCATTTAACACGTGCTTTCTATAATTTATTCTTAATTTGTTAAACATTACATTTGCGATTATTTTATCGAAGGATGGTAAGGTGAGATGCTTTTACATTGTAGGAGGGCTTTAATTGGCAAAAATCCACGGTTGGTTGCTATTGCAGACCTCTTCCCAACGATAATTACATATCGTCGAAAATTACAAGATACATAACATTGATAGATTATTTATTCACTAAGTGCGTGATTTATATAAAAATTATGCGAACGCTAATTCAGTAGATAATAGCTCTATATTACGTAAGTAACTTCATACTAATTATCTATATATTGTTTTCTCATCGTTTCTCTCTTTCTCGTGTTTCTTTCTTCATCTTTTTATTATTATATATAATTATTAGATTTGCTCAAAATTACTATTTAAATTGCATAGATAACAAAGTCGTTTTAAAATAAAAATTTACATCGTTCGCATGCATGGATTACTTCGTATGAGGCTCAAACCCACCATTTTCAACCGTCGAAACAACTTCAGCGCTTAAATAGACGAATCGACGAGCCAATTATTCTTTTTCACCTCGTTAATCGATAGATTTTCGCGACAGAGGACGGAACGCATTTTCTACGCGATTACGCACATCTTAAAATCGTGTCTAACATGTAAGTGAAAATCGACCGGCACGTGCATTTTCTAGAGGGCAGCGCGACATTATCGACGCCCCCACTAAATCCATGAAAGTGCTTAACGACAAGTGTGTGCAATTGCTCGCGTACACACGATAAGCGAGCGAATAATTGCGTGTCGTGCATTGAATGGGCCCTTCGGTCGACCGAACCACGGACAGAAACTTTTACGAACGTGACGAGATTCTGATGACAAGGAGCACACCGTAAACTTTCCCTTGTATTATTCGTCGTGCCGTTGATGCGAACGGATACTTTTCTTTCTGGGCGTTAGTGGGGGTGTAGAGAAGAGAGGGCAGATTATAAATGAGAATAAGGAGGATAGATAGATGGATAGATAGATAGATAGATAGATAGATAGATCTTTAACGAAGGAGGTTTTTAATTACTTGATGTAACGTTGTTCTTGACTCTTGACATCGGCGTGAGTATTGATTCTTCTTGTTATATCTTCTCCTTATTTGACTAGGTTTACAAAACTTTATAAGGGTAATGTTTTCAATTTAAAGGACGATTCGGAAAAATGTTATATGTTATATGCTATGCAACGAAATATCTACTGGCTGACTTTATATTCAATTATTAATAATAATCTGCCGCTTAACCTTCGTCAAATTCATTTCCATAATTTCAATTCAATGTCAAAATCAAGTTTTCAACCATTTTTATACGATACGGAATTATAAAAGGAGACAAGTTATTATAATAGCATAAAAGCACCTTCACGAACTTATATTTAATTTAAGAGTCTTATTTATATACACATTATGTTAAAGTAAACTCTTAAGTTCTTCAGCCCACCAACTTTAATTCAACTAGTAAGTTGAATTTATTAATACGTTTAAATTGCAAAAAAAAAAAAAAAAAAAAAAAAAACATTATTAATAATTTATTATTAATATATATATATATATATATATCGTGGTCATCATGTATCGTGGTGTTTTTAAAGTTGTCTAACTGATTATGTGAACTTATAAGGGGTCTTTTCATATCTAATTGGAGCATCGAGATGGAATATTAAGTTACAATTCATTGAATAGAAAATTTCTATTTTAAAGTTATTTCTTAATATTTTATCAATAACTTTTTAACATTTATTGCCACGATTTCAAATAGCGATAATAATTCCCCTCTTATTACATATATTATTAAATATACCATTTTTTTTTTTTTTTTTTTTTTTTTTTTTTTTAATTACAATTCACATAAATATATTTTTAATCGCACAAGGCGTCTAAAAAACTGTCATTTTTGTAATCTATGGATAAAATCTTGGAACGATAAAATGAATTGTTATTATCAACGGTTGACGGTTAATTCAGCCAATCGTGTGTTTACAGGAGGATATATTTACATTTCATTTCCCAAAATTGTCGTTTAACCTACTTTTCCTCGGCTGTGTTATAAAAAGATTATTGTCAAAGAAAATAAACTCTTACATCGTAAATCCTGTCGCTACCACTACTACCACAAACACTACAAGCAGCAACAACCAGAATCTGTTCAACGACATCCCTCTCGCACCGCCATCCCCTCCCCGTCCCGCTCCTCATCCCTATCAATTGACTAACTAACGAACCTATTTAAAATTTTCGATTGCACGCTAGACGCGATCTCAATCTCTGTTACTTGGATTTATTTGAAACTTAATACAGAAAAAATGAACGAAGTAGGGGCTTCGAGCGAGCGATGCCTATCGCTTTATTTATTCAAATTAATTTTAACGCTTCCATCTCTCGAGCGCTAAAAACAAAAAAAAACAAAAAAAAAAAACAAAAAAAACAAAAAAAAAAAACGTACCGTTCCAGGGGGATAAAAGTGCCCGTGGAGAGAGTACTCGGGGCTGATCGCGCAGGAGTTGCGCTTTGTTGTGCGTGATTCAGGGCACGACAGCCGCGTGATCGAGAAACGTCGCCGGGGTTCCGGATCGACGACTCCCCGTGTAACTCCGTCGAGTCGTGACGCGTGGAAAATCTGATTTCCCACTTTGGCTACGGCCACCGCCGATCCTCGTCCGGTCGCTGCCAAGTCAGCGCGTTTCGTGGCTTAACTTTGGGCTCGACGGTTACACAAATACGACCGATGACGTTAATTCTTCGCGACTGGCACATTTTGCCTAATGTACCGAGGACAATGACTAGGCGAATGCCAAATCGATTAATCTCACAAAGTATTTTTGCTTACGTTTTCGGGGATTCGCATTGAAAGACGTCCTTTTTCATTCCACGTGGATTATTCGTGCTTTCGCGTGCATTATTTGCATTGATAAATGTGATAAGTAAGTGAGGTTTAAGGATTAATATTGCCGACAAGTTGTTGGTTCGATGAATTAAAGAGTAGTATTGCAGCACCAATGTTTATTAGTTTTTTATTGGCATTTCTCATTGGCGATTGCAATCAAGCTTAAGGGGATGTGAATTATTATTCATTGTCAGAAAAGATTGCGTATGCAAAATTGTGAGATGTAAGTTGGTGTTGTAGATTGGTCGAGACAATGCATAAAGTTGAGCAAAAGTGTGCCTTTTCATAGATTAATAATAATAATAACAATAATAATAATAATAATAATAATAATAATAATAATAATAATAAGCCGATCAAGTGAAATTTAGTACTGTTTTGTGCATAATTACAAAAATATGGCTATACATCGTACAATGAAAAACAATTATTTACAATGTATTTTTGTTACGAAACATGATTACAATGTATTATTCGAATATTTATTTTATGTGAAAGTCCATTACCGCTTCTTAAAGCTTATTGAAACGCATGGAGTTTCGTGCAAGCGTGAACAAGCATTTATTATCCAGAAATTACACAATTATTACATTAAAATCATTGTCTCGTGTAATGCACATTGAATAGATTGTGCTAATTTCCTCGGGAGTACTGTATTTTCTTGAAAATGTCCAACTAACTAGCGTTTCATTAATAATATAAACTGAAAATTTGTTTCTGCCCCGTTTAAGGCTTCAACAATTATAATTGCATTTGAATATACCAACGCGTTCTTCGCGTTCGAAACTTATTGTTTCGAGGCACCAGGGCAGCATCGCTTCTTTTACCATTGTCATGTAATGAAACGGTTCGTTGATATTTGTCATCTTGCTCAACACGAACTTTATTCAACCGTCTACGAGGGTATAAAGCTCGCGTAATTAATTTGCTTTTTCGCAATTTCAGATCATGTCCCGGATCTTCGTTTCCGCAGCTTTGTACCTAGGTATGGACAACATATTTGTCAATACATTGATATCTTGCGTGACTGCTCATTCGCCATTCGGACAAAAATTATTCTCGCTCATTGTTATTCTACAGGTCTGCTGATTAGCTTAGCGAATGGGCAAAATTGCGCGGAGGACAAAGTTCGAAAATGTATCACTATTGCCGAGCCGATACTCAAGGATCCTCATTTGATTTTTCCCGATAATATGAATGACATAAACATCGTTTGCAAGTACTTACATTATTTTATCATTCAAATTTTTTTTTTATTAATTTTAGTGTGTGCGTATGCGCGCGCGTGTGTATTATATATATATATATATATATATATATATATATATATATAAATATGAGTTTCATATTTCTTCTCGACACTTTACATTTAATGGGAAATATAGTTTTTACTTTTATCAAGAGAGAACGAGCATAATAATTAACTTTCAGCCAAGAGAAAGCTTATTTTATATCCCATTTAACTAATTAGCACGAAAACAAGCTCGTTTAATACAAACGAAAGATATTTTTAAACATTGAATTAATATGAGTAATCTTACTTGCACTGTATTGCAAAAAAATTTTCTCACCCGCGCAGAGATCTTTTACTAAAAGAACACATCCTTGCTTTTAGCGGAAGAAGAATATAACTTTAACTTTTTGTATAAAAAGATTCGACTAAAAGCAGCTCAATTTAGCTCTCTCCAGCGGTGAAAAGAAAAATATTTTATTAACAAAGTTCGCAACCAACGTGTTTATCGTTCGGCAAAAGTGTTGATTAATCTTTCCTTTTCTTTTCAATCGTCAACATAATATGACTCGATGTCCCCCTAAATTACGATTCTCGCTAATAGTCGCACGACATTAAAATTTATCATCAAATATCCATGTAAACCCCAATAGTTTTTATGTCTTTTATTTCTTTTAACAGAACATGGTCGGACTTTGTCGATTGCATAAGAAGATACATAGACAAGTGTTTTTCAAAGGTACGAAAGGATCAATTTAATACAGCGGTAGAGCCGCCAATTGCATCTGTGCATCAGATGTGCTCGATTTCTTCCTATCAAGCAGGTGAGATTGGATATTTATATGCAGTTATCTTGCACTCGGGCTATCAATAATAAATACAAACAAGTGTAAGTATGTAAGGGATGAAACGAAACGAACGAACGAACGAACGAACGAACGAACGAACAGAACAAAAGCATTGCAAAACAAAAACAAAAACAAAAAAAACAAACTATTACAAATGAAACTGATGATAATTTTTCGTGTCATTGTAACGTCACTCGATGGCTCGATGTTGCAAGTCGATGTTGCATCACATTATTTTAAAAGTATCTCGAGTGCTTGGTTATTATTTGTTGCCGACCTCCGTGTTGAGAATAAATAACTACCTAATCCTCGGCTTAAGGAGCTGACAAAAAAACGTAAGTTATAGGGGATTAGCATCCTCCTCGCCTCTCCTCCTCCCCCCTCCCCTCCCCTCCCCTCTCCACCCTCAAATAAAATCACCACCGAAATCAAGCACTTTAAAGCGGAAGAAGTAAGGAACGCCGGTCGGCGGGATAAGCTCTCGAGAAAGCGTCCTGGCATCGCGAGGACGAGGAGAGCGAACGAGAGGGACGCAGCCTCGAGAGCCTATCGCCGCGCGTAGCTCGTTCTCAACGCGCAATGCGTGACACCCGACTCGTCCTTATGTCACGCAGAGTACCTACGATACGCTGGCTGCATAAAGGCGACGGTCATCGAGACGGAACACTGCGGCGGCCATTACTCGGCGCTGGTCACCGAGGTATCCCAGGAGAACGTGCGCAAGGCGAACCTCTGCTGGTAAGTGACGAGAGCCGATCCTCCGCACCCCGGCCGCACCTTACGCGGCCCACATTGTCCGTTTCCATTGGGATGTCGCTGGGGATTCTTCCCGCTCTTCTCTCCACGTTCGACATTATCGACCCACCAATTATCGCCGAGTGGACTCGTGGCATAACATGACCCGATAAGCCGTTACCTCGAAATTCATACGTCCGATTCGGGCAGCGGCTCGGTTGATAAGCGCGAGTAATGCCGCTGAGATAACGCAGAGCCCGATTGGACGATTCGGTGATTTGGATGCACTTTAATTCCAATGTTACGTAACGGGACAATTCAATGCCGCGGCATTTGTACGAAGACGTTGTTTTGGTAAGGGGGAGGGCTGAGGGAGGATAGAGAGCGTGGAGAGGGATAAGGAAGGATTGCGGAGTGCACTTTGGGGATCAACATAATTCCTTCTTCGTTTCAGCGCTTATCACAACTTCCGGACGTGCGTTATTCGGAAAACACAGCTGAGGTGCGATGGTAATCAGGCGGAAGGTATCGCCGCGAGATTCTCGCGGCAGGTCCTTGACAAGGCCTTCAATTTTCTCCAGGACCAGTGTCTCAACTACATGTATGCTATATTAAACTCATTAGGTTATTGAAAATAATTTAGGGACTTGAGGACATAAGAATGTTGTTTTGGATTGTGAATGGAGTGGCGTTATCGGGAGTCGGCCGTTCGTAAAGAATATTTTCAAAATTTAGCTTCCCAACGTCGCAGTTGCTCGTTTATATGAGATTTCGGATACTACACGATCGTATTTAAGTTTCTTTGCATCATAAATGTTTGAATTTAATTCTAATGAAATGAAAGTGCCACTTTAACAATCTTTACCGCTTTAACAATATTTACCTTACGTATGTCACTTGACCTTTATAAATAATATAATTATAAGCCAAGTTAAAGTTCCGCCGAGTCTTAATGTTATACCATAACTTTTCATAATTTCTTCAATTCTTCTCTTTTCTTCTCTTTTCCTCTTTATCTCGCTGCTTTTACGATACTAGCTCGTTTGACTTATATTTGAACAGAATTTAATCTACTCTTTTTCCTCTTATTTTTTCTTTTTTCTTTTTATTTCTGTGAGGAAAAGAAGGAAATAATAGCATTGCCTATGAACGCGATAATTTTGCGTATAAGTGTATGTGTGGCTTTATTGGAATATATTTGTTTAATTTATAAGCCGGGAAATAAACAGAAACCTACAGTCTAATCTATTATCATCGGGACTAGCAGGATAATTATGATAACAAATTTAATGCTTGATAGTTATTAAAGCAGTATTTATAAATATATTAATCACAATTCATTATATCGCGACTTTCGCATAGTTAAATACTTTATTTGTATTATGAAACTCGTCATATGGAAGAACTCTAGGATTTTTTTTTTCATTTGTACTTTTGTATTATGTGTACTAATTGATAGAAATTTTGTAATGAAATTACACTTTATTCGATTAATGGAACGTCAATGATGGAACGAGGAATTTTATATAAAAATTTATTCATAAACTCGTAATTTCCCGAGGCAATCACATTATTTTATTTTTATATTACATATCGTACTAATTTTTTAAACATAACAATTGATCTTATTATTTGCTTTGAGCAAAATACCTACAATTATATATATATATATATATATATATATAAAATTCGATTGACCAATACAAATAGAACAGTCGTATATCGTTCATTATTGTTTTGAAAATAATTAACTAATTGTGAAATTGTATCCTTTTTATATTTCTTTTATTTCAGTTTAAATATTAAAATCACTTTTCAATATTCACATTGTCTTAAAACTAAATATTATAGAATATCATTTATAAGCTATAATTATAAAATTATAATATCATTTTTTAACACAATTAATATTATTTGTACTATAATCACATATAATCAAAATTAACAATCAATTTGTGCACAACAATGTAAAAGGTATCGAGTAGAAGAAGGCAAATATTTAAAAAGAATTTTAATTGCATGATTATTGAATAATTACATCAACTGTATCCGTTTTTATTTTTATTCGTTTTGTTTTTTTATTTTTTATTTTTTTATCACGCTGATAAAGAAAAATATTGGCAACAATAAGAATATTTATGTCTTTCTCATATTTACATTATGCATAGTCTAATCATAATTTTAATAATAATTTATCATTCTTTATGTAGATTAAATAATTTTTATACTCCAATTACGAATCCATTGACATTTTACTCTGAAAATTCAATATTGGATTAAATTTTATATGCTTTTTAAAAATAAAATAATAAAGAAAAGCACATCAGTAGTATCGGATCATAAAACGCACGTTGCGATTAATTTGCCCACCTATTGACAATTACATATTCATTAATAATTATATTGTTACAATAATTATTCTCGATATACGATATACTGTTGTTGAATTAATGTTAATACGACTCAAGGCATTCGTTCTAACTATGTCACAGAACAATTAAAATTTAACAACTGCCTCGATAAAATAGGCGCTATTCACGAAGCTAATTATTGTGTCGAGTTAATATTAGCTTTGGAAATTAATTTCAACTAGATGCTGTATTATACGTGCGCGCGTGCACAAATAAAACGAAAACATTTATTTCAGCCCCGACACAACAAAGTGTTCGTTAATTATGAGGAACAAATCCGGTGGAACGTTGATTAGTCGACTCGGAGAGGGCCGAAGCGTAACGTTTGAAGCGCCAAACAGGTTGAATTCTAGGAAGTCGGCCCACGTCGAGCTACACCACGACAAACTCAGCGACGCCAAGGACGCCCTCGTCACCAATACCGCCCAGTCCAGCACCTACGAGACCACCGGACAACTGCCGAATTTCACCAATGATCAGTATCCGTTTATGACGCACAATGGCAGTCCGACGGAAACAAACGAATGTACGAGATACATAGAGCAAATAATTCATAGCCCGTTGCAATTTTACATTTCTACCCTCATTTAATCATGAACTTAGTTTAATAAATACATTCCTAAAGTGTCAAACGTCTCTACTTGGCCTCGAATTTTAAATTACACATAAAGAAGAAGAAAAAACTCGTAGATAAATAATTGAAACTTTCAGTATTTCCTGTACGCCAGTCAATTGTATTTTATATGCACATGATATAGTGTCGTCGTCAACCCAGCCATGACGATTAAATTTTGCTCTTTTGTTTTTCATTTTAAAGAAATTACCCTTCTTGATTCATTAAATAGAACAACGACATTTGCATATTCCGTATATTCCGATCATCCTCGGACATTTATATGAAAACATCTAAAAAAAAAAAAAGAAAAGAAGACGAATATCTTAATTATTATTTTCAATCTCACATCGTGGATTAACGCCAATAGTTTAAATAATAGACCAGTTATATATATATATATTATATATATATAACTATATAACTATTATTTATATGTAGATTGATGGACGTAAAGACATTGTTAAATTAATTAATTCATATCAACGTAACTTCTTCCCATGTAACTAACTGTTGCTTCAAATATTCGAGGCAAAAGCACAAAAGCTAATATTACGTAAAAGAAAGTTTTTAGCCGACCGTAGGCATCAAAGCTGCCTTTAGCCTTTGTTGGCTATAAAATATTAAGCAGCGCGTGAAAAAGCATGTGTCCGCTTTATTTTTCCTTTCAATCTCGTTGCAGACGTGGATTCTCGCACGAGCATCGACGTACAAATTCCGTTCACTTCCGCTCCGTTCGACACGCAGGCGTACCAAACCGTCAAGTACAGCCAGGTCAATGGCGAGATACCGGAAGAGGATACAAGCCGAAAGGCGGAACCAACGTATCACACTCCCATTGTCGAAAGCTCCGGTATAAACACAATTGCGGCCGAATGAAGTGAAATCAGTAAGCGGAGAAAAATAAAGAAAATGATGTTTCAGCACCAATAGAGGCCGCGACCCAGAGACCTTCGAGCTACGGTAGGGCTATATCCTGGACGTCACCTCCCACTCCGTCCACTTCGGAAATTCCCGACTGGGCAACCAGCACGTGGCTCACCTACAATCAAGTATGCAAAAAAAAAAAAAACATTTCATTTATTCTCTAAGCAATTGAAATGGTTTGAAATTATTCAATTATGAGACAAGGACTTAGAGTCTTTGAAGTATACTAAGCCTTCGCTTACTTATAGTGACGATGCTTATGAAAGCCGACCAATCGATCACACCTTCTTCTTACATAAAAAAAAAGTAATAAAAGAAGCAGAAGCTTATAATAATGAGCCACGATGATAGTTTGTTTATAGTTTTTCAATGGTATTAATATTTACCATACTAGTCATTGACCCACTGATAGTTTTAAAATTCTATTACAAATTTGCTTGACATTATTATTCAATATAATGCTGTTTCCAATTTAGGTAAATTATTCGTTCGTAATTTCGAATAAAGTTATTATTTTCTATGTAATTGGAGGAACGTCAATGTTTGATTTGTTCTAGAAAAATTTATGAAAAAAAAAAAACAAAAAATAAAACACCATGAAAAAATTACGGAAACATCGTTCTTAAATTAAGTAATTATTTCGTTTCTTATGAATACGATTATAAATGCAAATACCATTAATATTAGAGAAATCGTATTTATTTTTATCCTTTTAATAACCATTGACATTGCATAAATAATAGCACTATACGTCATGTGCCGTTCAAAAAACAAAAAACAAAACAAAATAACAATTGATCCATGAGAAAAATTAAACTGAAATTTTTTTTAATATTTCAATCGATCCAATTCATGTATGGCTTATTATTCAACGATATTGCAGACTTGAAAGCGACGGAAATGAACGAATTCATAATAACAGTCATACAACTTATATGTATAATTCAACTGGAAATATTATACAATTTTTACAAATTCCAATAATATTTTCACAACTAATCTTATTCTCTTGTACATTCGGCATTTCGAATTTAGTAACTGCATAGTCGAAGACAAGCCCATTAAGCAAACGATTTATTTGTAATGAAAACATGGTAGCAGCTGGAGTAAAATATAATTTATAACTTCTCGAAGTTGTCGACAACATGACGACAATGAAAAGTTTTTCATCGTAAAGTACGTTGAACGACAAAGCGCCTGTCGTATCCTCGCCAGACTTGTAGTTGACATTAAGGAATAAACCGAATGAACTAACTTTAACAAAAAAAGTAATATATATATATAAATATATTCGCGATGTTAGAAGGTTATTTGAAATATTAAAGAACTGTTAGAAAATACTTTTAAAGACCTTAAAAAAAAAAAAAAAAAAAAAAAAAAAAAAAAAAAAAAAAAAAAAAAAAAAAAAAAAAAAAAAAAAAAATTAAGCATACTTGAAACATTCGAGCGAAAAAATTGATTTCTTTACAATCGTAGAATTAACTTAAGTAGGCATATTTCGCAAAACAATAATGCTCAGACTTTTTATTCTTTTCTATTCACTTGCTTGATATCCTATATCAACAATGTTTTAAAAAATTATTAAAGGCTTTAAAACATTCCAACTTTATAATTTTCTGCTTTTTGTATTTCAATTTGAACTGTTGTTAACTCGAGGATTAAACGTATATATAATGCAACTATTTTGACATAAAAAAAAAAAAGAAAAAAAAAAATGCGCACAAAAAGAAATTAATTATATATGATACTTCAATTAGGATCTCACCACCGAAGAAATTTATCCGGCAGCAGGAAGTTTCGGCGGAAATAATATCGACGAACCAAATCAGCAAGGCCTTTCGAGGAATGGAGGAATCAGCTACACGGCGACATTTTTCTATATTTTCATTATGTGTTTCTTTGCATTTATACTTAATTAAGAAATGAATCACCAATATTGTAAATTTAGCATAAATAATAATGTTGAATAGAAAATATACATGGGATTAGCATCATCACGATGAAAATTTTTATCTATCACTTAATTTCATAGTCTTGATAAATAATTTTTAAAAACAATCATAAAAATAAATAAAAACTTAAAATTATATGAGAGGTTTATTTATTTTATAAATAGCTAAGTAAATAATGAGCAAAAATTACATTGCTTATAAATTAATCGAAAACTATAATTTTTTTTTTTAGATAAGTAGTATTAGTTACAAAATGTTTATTTTTTATTGTTTATACTAATATGAACCGTAGCTTGAATATATTAATAAAATGACACTTTATGTCGATAGTTTTAATCCAGTTTTATATGTATGCTTTCTATTTGATTTAGCTGCTTTTAAAATGACAAAAACCGACTCGTTTAAGTGGAATGAAATTATTAATGAAAAAATTCAATCACTAATTTTATAATATTCAATATTTCAAATGTAAGATCAATTAATATCGACAGATCATTTATATTAATGTAAATAATATCTTTATCAATATTAGTTAATATTATAATTATACAATAATTTAAAACTATAGAAGAAACGATAATTTTCTCTTTACACACAAGTAATTTGCAAAATTTGCAAAATGCAAAAATGTGTGTTTGAGTACATTGATTTATGTAAATTTTCATACATCATTATGGAAATTATACTTTTTTTTTTTATTAGTATAACCATTGTCTAATAATACTGGAAGTCTGGTAGAAACTACTTTTTAACAAGTATATGTAAATTAATTACAATTTATAAATTCATAAAAGCACATCCAACAAGTTTAATTTCATAATTTAATTTTTAACTTATTTTTAAGGTTTTTTTTCTTTTTCTTTTTTTTTTTTTTTTGTTTTTTTACATAGTAATTATTCTTAATATCAAACGTAATTAATTGCAGAAATAACGAAAGTTTTACTATTCGCAATATCATTAAAAATATAATCCTTTTAGAAAAAATATACTAGTAACTGCAATAAGAAATTATAATTTTAATAAATTTCTATGACGATATAAAAATCGAAGCAAAGTTATATTATAAACTACATTTAAGTATTAAACAATAATACCACGAATATGTTTTATATGATATGTGAAACAAGAATGAATATTTTAGAAATATTGAAATCCATTAATGACATATGGTTCTCATTATTATTATTCTATAATTACAATTATAGATGATATTGGAGTGCTATTAAGCATATTACATTTCACAATATATTGGCGAATATATTAAAAATAAAATTTTTATATTGTAAATGTATTATTGCACAAAATTAAATACGTTAAAAACACATAAAATTTAATTATTATTATATATTATTATATTTATATGTATTTTTTAATTCATATCTCATTATATATTAAAAATAAAATCTCGGTTATTTTAAACATTACTTTTTAAACTTGCGATTTTTTTTTTTTTTTTTTGTTTTGTTTCAAAAACAGCAGTTTATATTAGCACATAACACGATTTAAATAATATTAAATAGTTTTACGAAATATTAAATAAAATACTAATAAGATCATTAAAATGTTACCAGAAAATTATTATTATTTTAGATTTCAATTTTATCCTTAAACATTTATTGAAAGCAAAATTATTTTATTCGCTGTTAATAGCCAGTAAATCATAAATTATCTAAAAGTAACAGTCAATACTAAAGTTCTCTCATGTACATTTACATTTCGTAGAAATAAGTAGAACAAGAAATAAGTATTTTTATAGATTATCAATTGTTATGAAATATATCATTTGTTTAATTATTTAAACAAAACTCTACTGTGTAAAGAATTTTGTCTATTCAATCAGTTAATAGTGTTTATGTAACGAAAATTATAAATGGCTTTATTAAAAATAGATTTTAATATAAATTATAAACAAAGTTAATTATTATTTAAGACTATTTTAATACGTGAAATAATAACGATAGTAATTATTAAACAATACCAAAGATTGTATCGGATTATTCTAACAATTGATGTAGATGATCACACTTCATGATATTTGAATTAATTATTCACATTATACACAGAAGTAAAAGAATGTTTGTTTACAAAGGAATTTCAATTTTATTCTACAACTTTTTAAAAAATACAGACATTAAAGTGTAGTCTTGAGTTTTTCTAATTTTAGTAATAAGTTTTTTCTTTCTTTTAAAGTCAATTATAAATGAAGGTATTAAGATAGTATATTCGTTACTAACTCGATTGAAGAAAATGTACTAGATTAAGCAATTTACTTGTCCATTGCAATACAAATTAACATGTGTTTATTAACATTTATCAAGTACATTTAAATTTATTCAAATTGATTATAATTATTAAGACTTAGATAAAGTTTCTATATCAACAGTACAAAAAAATTATTATTTTTATTAATGAGTTTATTTGTTTATGATATTTATGATATATTGCAATAAAATCTGTTATATTATTATCAAATTCCCTATATTAAATTTATAATTCTATTTAAATATTTATGAATAATACACACGCCCGGACACACACACACACACACACACACACACAGAGTGAGAGATATACATCGATAAATACGTATATATTTACACTAGATGGACACATTTAATAACAAAATCTAAAGGTATTAAAAAAATTAAAAGCTGTTTTTATATCTTCATTAATCCAATGTTTGTAGATTACTTGTCTCTAAATGGAAAAATATAATGATTATGAATTTGAAATGTAAAGAGATCCAAATGCCTCGTTATTTTAAATAAAATTAAGTACACAAAAATTATCGAAGTTATTTTTAAGAGTAATCAAAGTCATTTATCTTTGTAAGAATTCAGTATTTTGAATTTCAGTGCACTTGTAATGCAATCCATCTGATAAATTCTTTATGTAATTATATTATAATATAACAAATAAAATGTAATAATTATTTCACGATAAAATTCTAAATTATCAAATAAAAGATTGAATTAGTTATATGGTTTGATGAATTTATTTCAATCCTAGTTAATTTTGATTTTCTCAATTATGTTTCACCATAATAAACTAAACCCTCCACAATTTTCATCGAGACTACGGAAATCAGAGCACAAGCTTGTGGGGTTGTACGGTAAAATTTATTACGAGTCGTGAATTTCCTTAAAATTCATGTCATTGTTTAGCCTCACAATACTTACCGAAATTCTCCAAATGTTAAAAAGAACATTAGGATTTTGTAAAATATTATCAACAAATACAATATAAAAAATCATTATTAGATTATAATTATAAAATAATATTATATATATATATATATATATATATATATATATATATATATATATATATAATATTATTTTATTAGAAAATGATATAGCCAAAAGAATATATCGTATGTCAACGAAATAATTTATAGAGGCAAAAATTAATTGGTCTGTCAAATCTTTAAACTATCGACTATTTTTAATCCCTAGTTTTGTTGAGGTTTTGTTGTTGAAAATGTTTTACAAAGTTTTCTTAAATACATAGTTTAACATTGTTATTCAATTTCTGCCTCCAGCTAAATATAAGTTTGATAATCAAAAAAACGATTCATTTAAATGTGTATTTATTACTTAAGAAGAAAATTTTTTATTGAAATTGAAATATTCTTCTGGCTATACAAAAGTTTTATTATTTTCAGCTGCTTTAAAAGTTATGTAACTGGGAAATCGGAGAGATGCAATGAAACAGTTAAAAAATTCCGTAATTAACACTTACTCGCTTTCCGTAAATTTCCCGGTCAAACATAAGAAATCGATTTGACACTAATTACTTAAATTACTTAACTGTCAAAAATTTGCTGTAATTTACATTTTTAAAATACGGAATAATTAGCATCGATAAAATTAATCTAACATTAACTATTGGTTAAGTATATTGATTAAGGAATATTTATTCAGCGTAATGGCTTTATATTATTATTATACAATTAAGTCAATGTATGTCTAAAATATAACTGGCACGTTATACATTGAGGTAGAAATTGTTTATTATATGTTTAAAGCATAAAAAGTGACGTAAACGATATTAAGAATTAATAATTTATATTCACGTTTATTAAGGAATATTTCTCTCTAATTTAATCTGCTTATTCTTATATTATATTATATTATTTTTAAAAATTGCAAATTTTTCCTTCGGTACAAAATTATTTACATCAAATTTTTTCAAATATCGTTAGTATTGTGTATAGTAGCCACACAAAGGCAAATAATTATATAAAAATTAGATATATATATATATATATATAATACAAAATATTTGACTAAAGCTATAATATATAATATGAGAAAATAATTTATTAAAATCGAAAATCAAAATCTTCACCTATAAATATAATTGAATAAAATAGTATTTTGTCATTTAAAAAATTATTCTATAAAATACTAACATTTTATAAAAGGATTAAATTTTATTTTAAGATTAAAAATCCACTGAAACTTTCTAAGATTTAAGGGAGTTACTATATATTATCGATGCGTTTATTTTCGTTCATAAAGAGAATTATGAATAAATGCTTAGCTGTCTTTAACGTGAAATAATAATAATCTTTATGTTTATAATAATAGGTATGATACTATTAGTTCATAGATTAAACAAGGCATTAAATTGCAATTATGCAATGAAGGAAAACTAAATTTTATATATAAAAATAATAATAATTAGTAAATGAAAAATTAATAAATGCACGTAAAGAATAGAAATTGTAAAAATTTAATTAAAATATTGAATTTCGACGTATTCTAAAATGGCGTTTTTTTTCCCGATCAATAATTTAATTCGTTAAAAATATCTCCGAATATTTATAGGCAAATTATTAAGCGATCGCCAGTATGTAATATTATTAATGTAAAATTAATTTCGTTACAATTGATTTTATTGTAAATTGGATTGAAAAATATTGTATATAATGAATAAGACAAAAAAAAACATATATTTTATGCAATTGAAAATATTTAAAAAGTATTTGAACGTTCAAAAATACTTTTTGCATGTAAATTAATTAGTGAATATTTTGACGCGTACGATCGAAGCAAAATGATCGAATTTTTAAAAATTTCACACTATTTTTTTTTCATAAAAGTTGTAGTATCGTTTGAGAGTTTTTTTTTTAGTAGAGATTGTAGTCAAAATGCTTTATTACACAAAATATAAAAATAATATCATTAATTACGTAAACCAAAATTATTAAAGCTTTTATACTATCTGTTTTGTAATTATAAAAATTTTTTTTTTTCAAATTCTTCTTTATGACACGAGATTAAATTGTAAAAATCTATTTTAGAAAAGTAAAAATAGTTTTCTCAACACACCGAAGGAGGAAATTGGCATAAATAATAGGCAGAAATTACATTTTTAATAATTTTGATTTGTATATATAATTATAATATACGATGTTGAATTGTTTTGAAAATATATACGCATTGAATAATTATAAATGCTAATATAATAAAAAATAAATAAAAAAAAAATAATATCCATACATTTGACATTTTCATATTAATGAAGCTAAAAAGAGATCATTAATTAAGTCACAACTTTAGATAATATTTCATTTGCATAAAATTAATTGAGAATCTTGTAATATACTATCAAATGTCTTTTATTGTTATTCAATATTTATTCGTACTTAAATGATACATATGGGGATAATTAAATTGTCAAAATTTTCCAATGCGTTGCTAACTTTGTTCTTCTATTGGTTATGAATATACCAAGCTAATTATGCACAGTATTCGGCATAATAAATTTTGTAACAATGATTTAATAAATATAAACGATCCAAGCTAAATTTGTGCTTTTGCTGCATTTTATAGTAAGATAAATGTATATAAAGTACAGTAGAAATAGTCAAGCAATGTATTTTTGCAGGCAATTTACAGTGATTATGATCAATGAAAGTAAAGTAATGTCAATAATGTTGATTCGAATTTGAAAAGAAAGCATTGTTACCTCATTATCGTTAGTTGAACGAGAAAGTTGTGTGGAAGGGTGGGAGGGAGGGCGGACTGCATTTGATAATATAACCGGCTTGCTTGATGTTCAATTGGTAAAATTGTATGACGTTAAGAGTCAGTGGTCGGAAGGAGCTGCCCACTTATCCGTGTTCCATGCAGATCCGGATGTCGGTGACATGTTAAAAGTGGGGGGCTTACACATGTACAAATGCAATTTCAACAGCATTGACAGCGGCTCTTCTGTTCGCGATGGCGTATGAATATTCCTTACCACAACATTTCATTTAATTGTCTAATTTACGAACACTCGGCATATATTATACAAAATATTATATATTCTATTTATGAACTATGATTTATGGTTTGTTCATATTAAAAAGTAGAAACATAAATAAAAGTGATAATAAAATAATATAAAATGTAGTTACGTAGTCGTGTAGAATTCTCAATATTAATTCTTTATTCGAGAGTTATAGAATTAAGTATTATTTAAAAAAGATTCCTCACTTGATTGACATAATTAACAAGTAATGTTCAAATGAGTCTTAATTATGTATTTTTAACCGCATTTAAATAGCATTATTTTGATTGATCATATAACGCATATCAAAATAAAAATATAATAAATTTTTATTTACTTATGTTAATAGATAACGTTATTGTAACTTTTAAAATGCGTAATAGTCTGCTAGTTTCATATTCTACAGACTCTAAAGAAAATAAAACATTAATACATTTACTCATCTACTACATGTCATGTCAATTTCATGTCAAGTTTAAGTCGGATCAATATACAATATGGAATAGCGGCCAGTAATTATGGAATTAAATATTATGTAAATAAAACATTTGAGAGAATTTCAACAGAGAATTATGTCTCGATTATATTGAACATTCGATGATTATTAAATTATATTATAGTTAACGACACTGTTCTTAATAAAAATGCTTAAACACTTATAAACTGCCACTGCTTTGCATTATTAATACTGTTTATGTGTTTTACCATAATTTGTTCATCGAGCAATCAAAGTTTCTTTGATTTCTTACGGGAGAGGATTCATTTAATTTCTTTTTCTTTTTTTTTTCTTTTTTTGTTTGTTTTTAACTTCAACATCGTAACACCTTAAGACTTAACATCCATTTCTGGGTTTAACATTTCTCGCTGAAATAAAAGAACGGATTGATGCTTATGAATAAGGAAAGGGTAATTTGTCCATTTAAATATACTTACGACACTGAGTAACGCGCAGCATTTACTGATTCGACTGTCCTTAGCCAGATGATGCCTAATACACTTGGAGTAAATGTACTCGAGGAGTAGGAGAATTGCCGCGATGAGAATGCCGACCATTAACATTAAGAAAGCACTTAAAAATTGCTCGAGTGCGAGGGGATCGCTGCTTTTCTGGACTTCTTTGTTTAGCCTGCAGGTGCCTGTCATCCAGTACCTTCGTAACCTCTCGAGGTCACCTATAACAGCGTTGCACATGAGCAACCGAATATCGAACTTTTCCAGGGAATATATTGCATACGCTCTGTTCGTCTATTTAAATTCTTGTTTCGCTCTATTAATTAAAGTAATATTAAACAATATTTCGAGAAGATATTCTTTTATTAATTTTTCAAATTAATCTTCTTTCAGGACAAAAGCGATACACGCTATGATTAAGAATGAAGGGCCAAATAGTAATAATAGCTATAACTTTTGCTTACGCCTAAATTGAAAGAAAATTAAAATTTAAAGAAGTTTTTTAATTTTGCACTTGAGAGAAAGTTTTATTCGCGCAGTCGTAAACGGCTACTTATAAAATAGTAAATTATCAAGTAAATAATAAACTTCATCACGATCGCATTATTAACTTATATCTATTAAATAGATTGCAATAATTATTCGTGCATTTTTTTCTTAATATTCTCTATAACTACAAGACATACCATTATCTCTGTAATCTAATAAGCGCTGATTGAACATTTTTAGAAATCTTGAGTTCCGTGGAAATGCTAATCCATATCCTGTCATGGCATACCAAGAGCCAACAGTTAATAATCGACAATCCTCGTCTTGAGATACTAGATAATCTAGTACTGTGCCATCGTATATGAAAGCATCCAAATCACTGAATAAAAAAAGAAAAGAAAAAAAGAAAATGCAATAATAGTATTGTAGGATAGAATTTATTTTATATAATTATTATGACGCCAATTAATTCTAACGAAATTTTGTTCATTATTTATTACCATAGCGCTTATTTATTACTATAGCGCTAATGAATATATATATTCTATTGTTGTCAACTATATAAGGAAAATATGGATTATTAATTGTATGCTTTAACAAAATTTTTATATTTACAAAAATAAATAACGTTATATCTAGGTGAAATTCAATAGCAATTAATAAATCTTGCGTTAGTCATAAATAATTATTTCGGTTTAATAAGGGCACATTATAATTAATTGAAAGCTGCAATTCTATTTTAATAGTAAATATTAGTAAAGTATTTTAAATACTTGGTTACTACTACATAAATAAAATTAAAAGCATTATTTTTAAGTATATAGGTTACGATCAATATTTTCATATTATTTGGTCAATGCGCTTAAAAAATAACAAACACACACACACACACACACACGCACGCACGCAAAAAAAGAAAAAAAGTTGAAATTAACTTAGTCTCATAGAATGGAAAAAGTCGAAAACCAATGGATTATCTTCCTTAAATTTTGTTGCCATTAAAAAGAATCCATAATTAAAGTTAAATATTATGGTAATAATATTTTTTTTACCAATTATTTTAAGTTACAAAAAATGAAAATAAAAAAGCTATAAGCATGGATAAATTATAATAAATTGAGGAAAATGCCACCGGCTTTCATATATACGTTAAATTCATAATTATTTTCACGAAAAAGAAGAAAATTTCTTTCTCAAAAGAGGATTCCTACATTATAATAGATATTTGAAAATTATAGGGACATTTTATTGAAATGTCAATATTAATTAAACACCTATCTTTTGATTATTTCTAATATCAATTAAATAATAATCTTATTAAAAATCACAATACATGTATTCCGAATATATATATATATATATATATATATATATATATATATATATATATAATACAATAAGAGCTCACGCGAGGTTGCTTATGGCTGGGAAATGTGGCTTTACAGTCTACAATGAGTAAAAAAGCATTAACTCGAATAAGAGCTACGAAGAAAGAAAGAAAAGTGGTAATCATTTTTCCCCTCTGCTCTCAATGGTTTTCCAAACAATTTAGCATAAGCGAACATTTTTCTAAATCCATTGATAATCTATTTAATGAAAAGGAAAACGCAACAACGGCACGATATTTGATTATAAGCGAGATTAATAAGCCAGAATAAATAGAGACATAGATTAAGGGAATCACCCTTAAGGAGGCAGAACTTATCTAAAACTCTGCCTCCATCAACCTGTAGCTGCTCGCTGCAGCTTCACTCGAGTGACAGAACTTAGTTGCCTAAATACATACCTACTCGTAGTAGTGTGTTTTGCTAAGGATGCGGTAGTATTAAGCAGCCTTGAAATACTCTTCCAACTCCTTCTTTCTCTGTCTGTCTGTCTGTCTCTCTCTCTCTCTCTCTCTCTCTCTCTCTCTCTTACTCTCACTCTCACTCTCGATCGATCTATCTATCTATCTATCAGTTGTTCCCTGTGTATGAATCGTTTTAAAGTACCGGCATTAATGTATTCTAATGTCGATAAAAATCGAGAGCAGTGAGACGGTAAAATGTCCTCGCGTCCACGTTAAAACGTTAGAAAGATTAGTTGAGATGTTGTTGAGCATCGATATCGATTTTCTATCGATTTTTCCTTTACTCGTGTGTTATTACTTGAAATCCTTCTTACCGCGTTACTCCATTATGACGAATAATACGATTGTCTAGACATAAAAATGCAGGATAATGTAAAATCTCGTACGCTAAAGCGAACAACAAAAGTCAATCGCAAATAGAAATAAGTTCCCTCGTGTGGCTCACTTTAATGCGCGAAAGCAAAGTCTTGGAAGTTGGCTTTTAAAGATCGACCGACGACCCCGACGATCTCTAAAATCCACCTTAAGTACTGATTGCATCGGAAATGGGAAAAAAGCTCCTGGAACTAAACTACTTTGGCACGAATCCTCGGACGCATACATTTTGTACGAGACGAATGACTGGACATTAAAAGCGCCGAGGAGCGAAGAATAATGCAAATTTGGCTAAAATAACTCATCCCTCGGTGACATCGGACTAAGGATTCTTTTTCGTTTCACTTTCATCCTTTATCGCTATTTATAATATTGCTTCGTCTAATATTTTTATATAATTATACTATCGTTAAGCATACGTTCTTTTGCTTAAATATTATTATAATTGATAAAGATCGATGGGAGGAACAAAAAATTAGATAGTTACTATAGGATTGTCTCTGTGGCTAATGATATTTTAATTCTGCGTAGAGTTAATACGAATGTTCTATTAAAATAATAAAACGCAACATGAAAAACAATATTATAAACTTAATGTATAAAAGAATAATAACAACAACAACAACAACAACAACAACAACAACAATAATAATAATATACTTATAATAATACTGGCATGATAATTTTTCATTTTTACCATATGATATGATTAATTGTAATCTTTTATTGTAACGAAAAATCCAAAAATTCGTTTGAATGAAAAAGAGAAATGATAAGAGAATACTTTTTCAATAATATGAGACCTGTGAATGTTAATAGCATTCTACATAGTTGATATTATAGGTGAGGAATGCAACGTATGTTTTTCGTTACTTGATTTTATATTTACAATAAAAAATAAAAAAAACAAAAACAACAACACAAATTTTATAGTCGCAATATATAGTGTAAATATGATCTGAATATATATTGCACAATATTGAAATAAGTAAATTTTCAACGTTTTATCCCACACTACACCCATACTATTACATACTCGACAAATATCGCCTCTTCTATTCTAAATTATTAATATTATTATTTTATATAGAATGTAATATATTGACATGGAACGGATTTCCATATAAAATCGTAACGATTAACTCGGCCTCACCTAGCACCGTTCCAAATCCATATTCGTGTTTCGCTTTAATCCACTCGAATATTTTCGTATTAAGGAATTTTCTGGTCTGGCCATCTATTTTAAGATGGTCGGTAAATTGAAATTACTATGAAAATAAAAAACATCGAATGTACATTTGCTACCTCAAGAAAGCGAGAGAAATAAACTGCCGTCTGAAGTACTAATTTAAATGCTTTCAATCTCTTGGAATGGCATTTTCATTTATATATAAGTAGGTTTATAAGTCCAATCGACACATCCATTTGCACATGCATGACGATAATCATTGAAGACACTTTGGGCCCGAGGATGAATGAACGTCGGCTGAAAGGAAAAGAAAAGCCTGGGGCGATAAACTTGGCTTAAGGCTCACCCGTTGATGACGGACTCTATGCCCTCGGCGACGCTGTTCTTATTGTAGTACTTCATGTAAGCGTACATCTCCCTGAAGTACTTGGCGAATGTGCTGTCGGTGTGGGTCCAGGGCACAGTGCCGAACTTGATCATAGGCTTATGGGACATGGGTCGGGCGAGTCGATGGTCGTCGATGCCGCTGAAGTCGAAGAACTCCTCGCGCGTTATCATGAAGGCGGCGAGGTTGGCCGTGTATATGGCCAGGAAGACAACGGCGAACATTGCCCAGACGTTCGTCATAAATCTGCAAAGTAGAGAGGCCGAATTTTCGAGGAAACTACTGACGGACGCGTTAATTTTTGCCCGGTTAAAGGAACCCAGCCGGCCGGCCGGCCTGTCAATAAGCCACTCTGTAAATTTAACTTTCTAATTACGACGCGCGAATGTTTTATCGTTCGGTAAATTGGGCTCGTCTGAAGCGCAAAGAGTGATAATTCTCATCGCCGTCGACCCAATTGCCTCCAGTGCACGTACTCTATCCCAGCTTTATAATTTACAGGCGAAAATCATTTGAGATCGATTTACGGGCGTCATGTTATGAAATTTAAATTGCCGAGCTTCAGATTCGATAAATTAACAGACGAGCATTAAAGAACGAACAATTAGAAAAATTATAAATTATCGCGTGGTTGGGTCGATAAAATTCAATTTTATCGAATATTCAATTCTTCAAACGATAGGCAATTAATCATAATTTATTAAAAATTATGAATCCATAGGTTGTTTCATTTGTTTTTTTCTTCTTCTTTCCTTCTTTTTCTTCTTCTTCTTCTTCTTCTTCTTCTTCTTCTTCTTCTTCTTTTGTCTACTTTTCTGTCTACTTTTTCGAGTATATTAAGAAACGTAAATTTGCAGAGTTACGTTAGAAAATGAAATTCAGAGTGATAGGGTATTGGAAAAAAAAAAAAAAAAAAAAAAAAAAAAAAGAAAAAAAAATTACGTCGATTATATTAAAGCGAAGAAGGAAATATTTCAAAGTAATTGTAGCATCTAGTCTGGATGAAAAGAAAATGCCAAGATAAATCCGAACTCTATTTTAGCAGCGACAAGGACAAAGACGCAAATAAACCCAAGATACAAAAAATACAAGATTCTGAACTGATTTCTTATGTTATTAAATTATTAGGTTCTTGGTATATGTGCGCGTATATGGCTGGATGATTGTAACAGAATGCAGGATAATATAGAAATTATTATTTCAATATTATATAAATTATTGCTTATAAAGTAAATTATTATTATTTGAATATTATAATATTTTGAAAATAATAGTTATCTTATAGTACAAACGTTATCGTAATTAAAACAAATTTTTATATGAAATAAGGCATGAAGACGTTATCATCGACCAAGATCGTTGTATGCTTGTGAGATTTTAAATATATTACAAATTATTTATATTTGGATAAAATATAGATATAAGTTTCAACGTGTTAAATAATTCGCAAGCATATTATCGAGATTAAGCTTGACTGAAAAATATTTATAGCGGTAACGAATAATAATAATGAAATATTCGCATTTTATACTTTTGCAATACGTCTCATTATTATTGAAATTTTGTTAAGTGAAATTGTGAAAAAGCTTCTAGCAAAAATCATTATTTAAAAATCTTTTCTTTTCTTTTTTTTTTTTTTTTTTTTTTTTAAATATCGTGTTGACGAGATTAGTAAAAATAAATTTTCTCGAGTAAATATTTGTAAAAATAGTGCTAAAAAAATAATAGCAATAATAATAATAATAATAATAATAATAACACCGATATCGATAATGGAATATAAAAATAAAATTGAGGGTGAGCATTAAAAAGAAAATAAAGAAAAAAATAAAAAACAACGACAACAAAATTCATTGTGCATTCGTAGTCGTCATCTCGTTAGATTCACGGATAAATCGTTAAATAATCGGCGAATAACTCGTGGGAATCATCAATCGACTATCGGATAGCGAGGCAGTCGAACAGGTTGCGCGGGCACAGGGCAGACGACAGGCTGTACGGGAATGAAAGTCGCGGCGAGTTGAATTCCGGGGTATCGTCGACTTAGTTAGTAGCCGGTGGTCGGGGAAGTGTTGTGGAGTTATGCGCACAGTACCTGGCCGTAAATCCTCTGGGCGAGTCGACGTGTACGGCGGCCTGGAAGAGAACCGCCCAGACGAGCCAGTAGACGCGGCAGAGGGAGAATCGATGCCTCAGTGACGTCACCGTCTGTCCACATAAATTAATTCTGGTTTTGAAGATGAGCTTTGACCAGTTAAGCAAAGAGAGCACATCCTATGGAGTTTTCGTTTTGCTAAAGGCGCCATTGGGCTTTTGCGGCTAGATTAAAGCGTTCGGACTTTATTGCAAAGTTTTTAAGATATTGCGTGAACGTGTTGCTTTGTGCTACAGGGGATGCAGGACTCATTAATCAAGCTTTACGTACGTCTTTAATGAAGGACACGTCGCAAGATTGTATGCACTTTCTTCTTAATTTATTGTTGCGTACATCGTTATTTGCAACATGTTGCAAGCAAGAGCTCGTTGTTTATTTTATTTCATTTCAGTTCAACGGATGCGATTTCCCGTGCTTATTGTATTATTGCATTTATGAAATTTTTTATAAAAATTAGTCGAATAGATGGTTATTTTATCGTTCGTGTATGCTTCGCGCCGAAATTCGCTTAAATTGTTTTTCCCAAAATATTACAAAAAAAAAAACAAAAAACAAAAAACAAAAAAAATCTCTCGATAAATTAATCATACAAAAAATAAGTGAGACATTATCATTAATGGCAATTTAATTACCCTAAAATCAGACAAAACCCATCGTTAATTTCTTGTTTCTACAGTACGAAAAACTACGACAGGAATTTTATTGATTAACTCTTACACTGCATAAATTAGATGGATTAGTACGGAACGAATTTATGTTTGTTTTAATGATATTAAAAATGCTCATCATAGCATTACATTATAAATTTGATGATTTATAATTGTTCCTTTGTAAATAAAATATTTTCAATCCTCGATACTTTATGTGTTTATGAATTGAGCAATAATATTATTTATAATTTATTTAGTTTAATTATTTATATTTATAATTATTTATAATTATGTATCGTGCTTTTAAAGCATACAGTCTGAATACAAAACAAAACAAAAAAAAATTAATTTGATTAAATACTTTTTGAAACTATTTGAAAAGTTGGTATTTCTAAAAGTCAAAGTATCTTTCATAATATTTTCATTGCATTTCTTAAACTTTACGTGCCTCCTCTTCCAATAGTAGCGTATTTAATTCCAATTATCTGCATGCGATATAAATTTCAGATGAAAAACAAATATTATAACTTAATAGATAAGTATTTCTATTGATTATAGAAGTTGTAACTGTATTAAAAAATAGTAAAACGTTATGAAAAATAATAAAATTATAAAATAATCTGTTTAAAGTCTAACTGAATATGCTTCTTCTTTAACAGTAAATACATCCATCTGTTAAAAAAAAAAATACGTGTAATTCCAAGCCGAAACTTCAAGAAACTTTGTAAACAAATTCCATCCATACATACGATGATTAATAAAAATAAGTGAAAAAATAATTAGTAAAATTGTGTCTTATCAAAGACTCGAGAAAACATGGAAGAAACAACTGTGGAAAGAGATCACGTCTGTTCCTATCAGCTCGAAGCGTCGCTTATCAACTACTAATCCTTTTATAATTTAATCGCCCTTTCAGTACGACTTGATTAAAAGTTTCTTTAAGCTCATCTCTGACAAAGTACTCGTCAATTTACAAATACACGGTGTACAATGCAATAGATTATGGTAAAGCAAAGCTAATACTTTACAACTTCGCTTAAATACACTCATCTTCATTTAAAATGCTAGGTATCCATGTTAGACAACGTCTCTCTTTCTTACTTTTGATTTATTTTAATGGTACACACTAGATTATCATTTAAACTAATAGGAACATTCGATGACAGGCAAGTCGAGCAAGTATGAGCATTAAAAATGTAATAACACAAAATTAAATAAAAAAAATGTTCCAACTACGTTAACAATTTACATATTGTACATGCTTGCATGCTCTGTATCGGTACTATGTAGTTAAGACCGACAATATAGATAATAAAGGATATAAAAAGAGAGTAGAAGGAGTGAGTGAACAATAAAAATATTGTAACGAAAGAAATATTATAGAAAATTAAAGTGAAATGTAAAGATATTAAAATACAAAGCATTGACTTCTTCTTTTTCTTCTTCTTCTTCTTCTTCTTCTTCTTCTTCTTCTATAATAATAGCCTTAAAATGCATTATAATTTTATTAAACTTTATATTAAACTCAAAGATGAACGTTGTATTTTTTAGAATAAATAACAAGATGTATTTAACAATTTTTTTTTCTTTAACCATAATGAAATAGAGCGGAAAAGAATTATTCTTATGAACAAGCGATACTCTAATTTACCAATGCCTACCTCTTTTAAAACATTTATCTTGAATATTTGTCATAAATTACCAAATTTTTCTAATTTAATGGCCTCATTATTAAAATTTATATTGACAATTTTTACGTGCATCTGCATTATGCCAATAATAAATCGCATATACACACGCACGCGCGCGCGCGCGCGCGCGCACACACACACACACACATATATACATTTGAAAGATGGTAAAGAAGATAAAGTCTAGGCTACTTAAAGTAAGATAATTAAATTCAAAAGATATGGATAAAAGCCCGATTGTTGTTACTCGTAAGAATTTTCTTATAGTTATTTAGTTATTATCATTGTTATCATTATCAAGCTTAAGCTGGCAGTTTGTAATGTAGAAAGAGCGTAAAGGCATGTATTTATGCTTGGTAATAGGGGAGGCAGGGTGATGATGATGAATAATCGCGATCGGGGCCTCGGCAAACACAGAATAAAAGTGCATAATGTAATCGTAGCAGCAACAAATATCATATGACAATGCAATAAACAATAAACAAACAAAAAAAAAACAAAAAAAAAACAAAAAAGAAGTGCAAAAACACAAACCAAAGGACAATAGGGCAAAAAACAAAAGAGAAAAAAAAATAAAAAAGAGAGTTGCGAAATTGAAAGATACCGGCTTTCGCTTTGAGCCCGAGGAATGATCGGTTATGCCGAAACCAGATGGCGAAAGCCACTCGAAGAGGAAAATCATGAAAGTAGCCGAGTGTATAGCCACAAAGCCAACGAGCATCCAGGAAGCAGTGTCGAACGGTTCTGAAAAGACAAAAAGTTACGGGAGTGTTCCAGTGTGATAGAGGCCAGACGTTTTCTCACTCGCTCTAATAAGTGCACTAATAGCGAGACAAGCGCTTTTGTATTGGCCAATTATAATTATATAACAGCAATCCCCAAGTTCATAATCCGTGTATCCGCTGCCAAATTAAAATGCAAGCCTCTCTCGTTGTATCATTTCTAGAAATGCTTCGCGTAATGTACAATCGTCATGCTTGCATTTCTATTTACACGTGAGATTTTCTTTTCGGAAAAGTTCGTATGTTCCGCGCTCTGCACATATTTTCATTACTTACATGTGCATTTGAATGTTTTACTTCTTTTCATCTTTTTCTCTTCTCTTTTCACTCTTCAAAACCCTCACAATCGCAACGAGAGTTTTCCAATTTATGGACTCACGAGCTACCGTACTTCCAAGTGAATTTTTTTTTGAATATTTTACTCCATGTACAAGGGGTTTTTACTTTGATAGTTGAAGTTGTTCGATACAATTTTTAACAATCAAATATTTTATACGATTTTCCACGATGCTTTGCTCTTAATTGCTTAAAACTCGTAATAATAATAATAATAATAATAATAATAATAATAATAATAATAACAACAACAACAACAACAACAACAATAATAATAATAATAATAATAATAATAACAA